GCCGTTCCTGGAGGCTTTGAGCACGGGGGGGGAGGGGGGGCTGGCACCCCCCCATCGCGCCGCCCGGCCTCCCGCCTGCGGCACCACGCCAGGGCTCCCCGCGGCCGAAGGGCTGCGGTGAGGGCGAGCGCGGCGTGGGACAGGCCTTCAGGAACTGCAGCTTTTATGCAAGCACTTAGACAACATGCGTTAAGATAGGGAATTTTCCCGCAGCAGTACTTCACATGTTTTTTGTTTTAATTCCGTGCTTGCAAGACATGCAAGTCACTAATAATGTGTGACTGGAAAATTTCATGGCAGCATTTCCATATAATTCATAGATCGGAGGAAAAATTGTTTTCTAAACTAGTTACAAGAAAAATCGCTACTTTCTCATTCCACTTTACCTTTAACTTTTTAAACTACCTGCTTATCTTTATGCATCTGCTTACGTGCTCTGCTGCATTAGGACGGGCTGCTATCAGATCCTCAAATCAACGGATCAGACGTTAGCTTGAATAAGTAAGCCAGCCTAACTCCACGGATTCCCATTGCACAATACCTATGCATATCAGCTGGCAATACCAACATCAAGGTAACCTTCCCTGTGTGGTACTGCAGAGGTAAAGTTTGGACTTCACTTTCACTTTACTGACTTTCACAGAGCAAGCATTTTACCTGATGGGTCTAAATTTTCTTTCGTTCATTGTCCAATTTTAACCATCTATACCAAAACTCTCGCTCAAATCAATGAAAGTTTGGCTGAATCAGTACTCACATTAGTTTTCAGGTAAGTTTTTTTAAAGAGGAAATAAATCAATAAACTATAACATCTACTCAGAGACCTGTGGCTGCTGCCAACTCATCTTTGTTCCTAATCCTAGGACCACCCATGTGGCTTCCTGACTTTCTCTAAGGCTGCCAGTACATGGGCACAAAGGAGCCCAAGCTGCCCTGCTAGCCCAGGCTGACTCTGTTTGGAGCCAGTCTGCTGTCACTGCACCATGCTGGATGGAGCTTCAGGAGGAGGACGAAACGACACGCTATGAGCTAGCCCTGATCTGACTGCAACTACAAGTTTTGACTTAGATGTGTGATGACTACTATCATCAAAGAAATAAAGGTGGATGGAAAAAAAAAGAAAGTAGAAGAGGTACATTATAGGCACTGTACAATTATTTAGTAAAATGTTCCCTAACTCAATGAACTTAAAAAAAAAAAAAAAAGGAGAATAAAGACAACAGCTGGGAAAAGGGAAATATTATTGCCCCTTGAGCACAATGGGTGACAAAGCACTAACAAAAAATTAAAATAAAATAGCAAGAGAGAGCAATATGAGGGAATGAAAGACAGAGAAGACCTGCAAGTTCTTGAAAGAAGGTTTGCAAGAAAATGATGTGAGGAAACAGATGGGAGGCAAGAAAGATTCAAGAGGTGCGTACTGCAGTCAGCACAACTACACCATTAATGTCTGGACAGTATGCAATCAGAAAAGTGAAAAGACGATGAATATGTGAAAAGTTGCCATGTATGGAGGTGAAGAAGGGATAGTGAGGCAAGAAGCAATTCTGATCATTTTAAACAGAAAGCATGGGACTTGCTCCAATTCCTTTTGCACACAGTGGCAACCCTGATTCCCATGAGGACTATCACCGAGAAGCTCGAGCGCAATAGGGAAATGTGGACACCTAAATGAAGTACAGCTGCAGAAGTTAAGATAAGAACAAACATAAGGGAAGAGAATGAATACTGTATACATAAAAGAAAACCCAAGAATCTTGCCAGTTCTTTATTGGCTTTTCTAAATAAAGAACATGGAAAATAATCAGCAAGCTATTCTGTCAGGTTTCTGACAGGAAAATAGACTACAGTCATATCCAGGATTACTTAAGTGGACAAATTCTGTGGAGAGTTGTGATTTGCTAGACCAGGCAAGAGATCCACTAGTCAGGACTCCTCTGGCCACAGGCCAATTCCTAATTAATTCCTAATTAAAATTCTAGTCATCTACCCATGCCCCATAATTGCATTTTTGATTGCATTAGGCTTTTATCAACATTGGTCCCCACAGCAGAAGGTGGTAGGTATGTAGGTGTTTGTGAATAGGCTGGCAAATTTTCATGGTAGGTCTGCTCATTCTGTTAGAAGAAGGTCGACAGGTAAACTTAACTGACTCTAAGGCAGTGTGATTGTGTGCCTGGTTTGCCATGCATTCATCCTGATGCCTTCAGGTTAGCAAGCTATACTCCAGAGCTTGGGATGTAATTGTTAACTTGGCTTGAACAACCTAAAATGTTGTTGTCATGGGTATTGAGCGTCTATCCAAACAAAAAATTTAATTTGTTGTGGTGTTGCTTAATATCACAAAGTGTTTAAATCTAATGTTTCTTCATAGTCCTCCAATGATTTTTTAATTGATTTGTTTGCATAATTTGCAAGTTAAATCAATTCACTTGCCTTGCCAAATCATTACTGACTACATTGAAAAGCACGTGTCCCAAGAGTACCTCACTATTAAAAGCTCCACTGCCCAAAAGCAGCTTTCTACCATGTCTTTTCTCTCTCAGGTAATCATGACTTACATTGCAATATAATTTCCCCATCAGTATATGGTACAGTCTTTCAGAAAGGATATCCCTGGAAGTTTTTTTTGAAAAATCGAAGTAATCTTTATTTGCTACATCAGAAATGAGTTTTCAGAAGAAGCTTGAAAGAAAAAAGTAGATGTGAAGAGGAAGACTGTCATGGAGGACAAGGTATTTTGATTCTTTTATTAGCTTTCTCAAAGTGCTGAAACAAAACTCTCTAAAAATTTTCCCTATACTTATGCAGTGCTCACCAACCTGTAATTCACAGTACCTTTCCAGCTCTTCTAATAATATAAAAGGAATTGGTATTGCAGATCCAATTCAATTTTTAAGAGAGATACAAGAATATTATATTAACCTTTCTTTTTCTATTATATTTTTCTATTATTTTCTCAGAGCTGGGATCAGGTTTCACATTGGGAAATGCTGAGTGCTTCCTATGCATAGGATATACGATTATCAATTTCTCTGTTGTTTTATTCAGATCCTAATGGGAAGCACCACGTGGACGTAAAATAGGCAAGCTAAGCCCCAAATCACTGGACAACGGGCTTCGTTTTAGGCAGATAAGTAATTCTTTGGGAGTCCAAAGGGCTACTGTGATGCCTGGGTCATACACAAGCTTCAAAACCCTGGTCCAACACAATGGGAGTATTTCTCTTTATTTCAACAGCCACTAGCCCAAGCTTTTAATTGCTCTGCAGTTCTCAGACTTCTTCCTCCTTAGAGAGTCCTGGGTGCCCATGAAGGCCACTCCTGAAGTTCCAAACAGATGTGACCTAGCAGTAGGAATTCCTCACTGATGTGAAAATTCTGCAAATAGATTGATTTAACTTCTCAGCTATTATGTGTTTATTTTATTTTCATGATTTTTTTTTTTTTGGACTAGAGGAAATCCTAGGTACTGCCAGTCTTTTTGTCTGTTAAACACACATCACCTGCACCCAGCCTCCCTCTGCACTGCTTGAATCTTCTGTTACCTTACATCTCAGTGAAATGAGAAATTTCTTCCTGATCTTTTTTCTTTAAAGAACACTTAATTATTTTAGGCTCTCTGTAACATCTGGAACTGATAAAAATCCAAATGGGCATTTAACACTCCAGTGTTAAATCAGTGGCTGCGTTATACAGGAACCTTACCTGCCCTCCAACCAAAGCACCTGTCAAACACGCTGTACTTTGCTGCTCTCAGGTCACAAGTATGACCCTTATAGGCTTCCTATATATTATAAAACTATTCTGTTCTACTAAGATGCAGAATACAAAGCTTCACTCTACGAAGAATTCTTAATGAATTACATAGACTATTAACTTTCCAATGAACTTTACACTTAGTAGCAATATATGGATTATATTTTATATATATTTATTTATATTTTTCTCTCTCTCTTTCTCTCTCTATATATTTAAACATTATCCATAAAACATATTAGCCTTGTTCCAAGTCAGTTCTATAGGGCCTCCAGAGACTGAAGGATTTTGAGTTGTGTGCTTACCAGAGGGGGCTAGAGACACAAGTGATCTGTCCTCCAGCTAGCTTAGCCCATAATATGGTTGAGCTCCAGTTCCTCCTTACCTGGTAAATCATCTTCATCTTCACTGAAAACATTTGGATTAAAGACAGGCAAGTTAATGTAGTCCATTGAAATCTTCCTCACTTCTGGGAGATATATTGTCATCTGCCTGGGCTGAAGATGCAGCAAACTGGTTTTATATATTACTAGGGATGAAGAATAACGAGAAACAAAAGAAAAAATTGTTACCCAGAGAGAATCTAAAGCTAAGAAAGAATCAATTCCAAGCAGAGATGGGCTGTGATTATTTTCATATAATTTATTAATGAACAAATAAATGCATGTGTGGGCCATTCTTAAGCACATCATTATGTACTACTTTGCATGGACAGGATAAAAGAAATTGATTCCTTCAGTTATTCACCCTTAACTAGAAGCAGCATCTCTTCAGTCAAATAACCTGCAGAAATAACAAATTTCTTCATCTAATTTTTGTCTCTTTTTAGGGAAGGAAAAAAATTTTTCCATTCTGCTTTTAAAAATCCTATAGATTTATATCAGTCGGAAAGCTCTCAGAAAGGAAATCCACTGAGGGTTATTACATACAACAAATCCTCTGTTGGGTCAACAAATCCTTCCCTGGGACTCAAGCTGCTGGAAACTGGGAGAACATCTGAAGGAACTATCGTTCCACACTTGCTCTACACTTATATCTTTCCCTAGGTATCTGTCACCACTGCTGAGAGAATATTGAATTATGAGACCTCTAGTCTGACTGACTGGGGTCATTTTTACATTACTGTTTGACAATCACTGCAAATATGGATGTCAAAAAAATTTTTGATAGTTTTCTGGAGGAATGGTACTTTATACGGTACTAAATAAAGTGGCTGGAACAAACCTGAGAGTTTCCATAACGATTTAGTAAGTGGAAGGTGCCATTGCCCTATAATAGTGGCCCTGGTTGTCCCCTGGGGTGACAACATCCTGAGAGGACAGCTTTTGTCTGGAGGCTAAGCCAGAGAGGGTCCTCCTCTCAGCAGCTGGGACACCATCTCTTGTCAGAGGATAGTCAACACAGTCACAAAAAGTATCTAATTAACTCTGTATCCAGGGCTTCATTACGTAGTCCTGACTTAACTATATCACGAAACACAATCAAATTTTTTTTTTTCCAAAAAGCTCTTAAAACTCCTACACAAGAGACTAGACCACTGCTACTTTTAATGAAAGCCACTGTGTTACTGATGCTCCAGCAAGAGAACTATGTGATAATGCTATGCAATGACATAAGGAATCTTGAGCAGGATGCTGAAAGGGCTTTCTATAGCATTATTTTAGAATAATTAGTTAGCTGAATCGCTATAAAAATCAGACCTCTTAAATTATTTCTAACAATTACTGCAACTCAGAAACTGTAATTTATATATTCTTCTTGCAAAAATATTGTTTATTCTTTTGGTTTTTGTTCAAATAAACTGAAAGAATAAAGGTTTGGCTTGACTATTAATTAATCTTTTTATCATATCTAAGTCTTTTAACATTTTGTTGAGATCTCATTTTTGTATATAGAGATTTGAATCTCTTAATTACAGTGATTTAAAAAAAATCTAATTCCTACTGTCCACAGGAAATAACCACTTTGTTAAAGAAGCCTTTTGATCACTTAAAAAAAAAATCATATCATGTGAGTTTGCTATTTGTTAGCAAGAGCTTGACACGGAAAAAAATCAAAAGAGTAACTTTACCTGCACCAAGGTTAGTTGGTAGGAAAGCAGCCAAACCCACAATTTTAAATTTGGTTCCCCAGATGTTAGACGTGACCTGAGCAAGGTAGTTGTGCTGCAAAGAAAAAACAAGTTTGTTTTCGCCTAATAAAATCTGTATCAAGGTCTAATAAAAACGCTGCAGAGCAATCAAGCTATTGCGAGTGATAATACAATTTCAGTTCCTTTTATTTTCTTTAGAAACAGCCTAACGTGTCTACGTATCAACTGTTACACCCTGTCATTAAGAAGTCTCACTTTGATATCTGAACACCATCAGCAATGAGATACACAACAACCACACAGACTGCTTAAAGCTGCCGAAGAACTGGGGAACATCAAAGCTGCCTCATGAGAACAGGACTGTTCAGATGCTTCCTCTTCCTGCACAACAACAGAATGCAGCTATTCGGTATTTCGGGAAGTAGTATTGCTTGCCATTTAGTTCTTTGGCACTTTATAAACAATAAATAAGATAGAAGTGAATGATTCACAGTGACAAACATATTTTTCCTGGAGCTTCCAAAGCAGTTTCCCAAACCACTGCATTTATGGGGTCAAATTATAGATCTGAAAGATTAAGTGATTTTCCCAAAAGCCAAGAGTCATGCTGTCAGCATCAGGAACAGAATCTAAGCTGCTGGTCTCCTGCCCCACTCAAAGGGCTTTTGGCCCTATCTACGGTTACTGCTACTTATGTACTGTACGTAAAGAGAAATGATGGAGACAGGGAGGGGAGAGGAGAGGAAACAGGAAAAAGGAAAGGAGTAAGAGAATGCAGTTCAGTACTAATGAAATGTTTGGCCCAGACAGTTCTACAGTGTGGTGAGTTTCATTTACCCAAAGATCATAACACAAAAAGCACAAAATGCTAATTGATTGCCTTTTCCAATTATGGCTGTTCCACGTAATTATGAAATAGAGAACATGGCCCCCTGACCCAGTGATTTCTTTGTCTCTGCAGACTCCTAGCAAAGCAGATAACTATGGTAGCATTATGATAGCTCTGAGGAACTGACTAAGGACCATTTCAAAAATGCTTTCCAACAGCAAAGAACATCAGCTAGAAAAGAATCTCTCTCACAAGGATTTTTTAAGAGAAGTCGGTGGGGCCAGGATTTATCAAACAATGACATCCAATATTCCACTGACGATTCGTAATACAAATGTTTAACTGAAAAACGGGATTCTATAGTTGTTTCATCTAATAGCTGTAAGTAAAAGACAATGTTTTATTGGTGATCACTGGATCTACACATCACAGCTTGCTTCCTCTGGAAGGAGATATATTTGGACTCAAGTCTGGTAACAGTGCACACTATACCTGAGTAATATCTTCTAAAGGAAACTCTCTTCGGGTTAGGCTTGGTGAACCAATAGAAGGTTTCCTTATTGGTAACCTCGGAGATCTTGATATCTCCTGTGCAGCTCGTGACATCTTTGGAGATTTGCGAGCTTCTATATTGATTCTGCATATAAAACAATAATTAGAATCATCAATTGGCATGTGAAAGTGCACAAAATTAATGCCTTTGAATATACAGATGGTAATAAAGAACTGGTTTGTTGTTCTCTAGATGACTAATGAAAACTATTTAGCTTACAGGATATAGAGCTGTGGGTCAAATTAAAGATGATGTATAAAGCCCAACACACTTGCAATAACTCCGATCACACCCTCTCAGATTCATTTAACAAAGCTTACAGCAGTTCTGCCAGATGCAATAAAGCCTCCACTAATCCATAAAGATGAGCAAGGCTGAATTATTTCAGCGACGCAGACTCTGAGCACAGCCTGTGGAAATGGAAAGGTGACATCTCAGCTGGCAGATCTCAGCACTAGTAGGGCAAATCAAGGTTCCACAAACTTAGTCAAGTGCTCTCTCTCTAAGCCAGAAGTTTCTCCTACCACCAATTATATAAAGGGTGTTCAGAATATGAGATCAAGCAACTGAAAAAGCTCACTGGTGGAAAAATACAGCAAACAAAAGTTAAATTTCAAAAGTACATTTTATAAACCAAGGCAACCACATAGTTTTCTTTCTCTTGAGCCATTTCTGCTCTAGGCTCCGGAACTGATGATTCATTTGTCAAATACCTCAACTGAAACTCAGGTATCTCACACTGTCATATGAAGGGTTCCATTTCCTTTGCCTCATGCTGGGGCATCTCACAATATAAAGTCATTGGAAAAGCATCAGCTGCAATCAGAAGGTATCAAGGCCTTAATCCTGCAAGACGAAGCTAGCAGGCAGACAATGGTGCCTGTCAGAAGCATCACTGACATCAGTGAGGCTCTGTGCTGGTACAGAGCTCTGCCTATGCACATTAGGAACGTACCGAAAAGGTGACAGGAAAGCATTCAGAATAATAAATAGCTTAGAAGCATATTTTGCATATTGTTACAGAACCTCGTCAACCCAATATGTTTGGAAGATCTGCTTGTTAAAGCTTCACCCCAGCTGCAGCGCCACCTATGCCAGGATCAATAGCACAGACTTATGAAGGACTTTCCGAAAACACACCTGAGGAGGCAAACATTTTGACTGGACCAGCAATCCTAAGCATTGAGGACGTAAAAACATGGACTGTCTGGAGGAGAAAATACATCCATGATGGCAAGGGTTCACATGTGGCAGAGGCAGTTTTGGGAGAGTTTTTAGTATTTTTCCTTGAGACTGTGCTCAGGGAGAAGGGGTGCCCTATCGCGTCCTATTACCTTTTGCCTCAGAACCTTCCCTAAAGCCCACCTCAACACCACCAATCTCTCAGATCCTCCCAGAACCACACACTGGAGGAAACACTCCTCTAGAAGAACCCTACCTGCCCATACCACCTGTAGGCAGGAAGACTCACAAATGACGTGAGGGAACTCTGCCCAAAGGTTATACTAACAATTCAATCTTGGGACAAAATGAAAAATACATAAAATTGTTGGAATGGAGGATAACAATGACTTGATTCTAATCTCAGAAATTTCAGCCTCATTGGTTATAGGGTAATGAGCATTTGGGAACAGGTACAACCTGGGAAATAAATGAGTCTGCACAAAATTTGTATGAAAACACAGGCAGCCGCAGCTGTTTGAGGATCACGTTTTCTCCTGGAAGAATGAACCATCAGGGAACCACAGCAGCTGGAGGCAAGCTAAATTAAGAGGACTCACCATACTTATAGCTGGGGCATAATAGGAGCTGTAACTTGGAAGTGCCATGCTGACAACCCTTTTACAGGACATCATCATTGTTCATTATGGTTATCAATTGAATTAGGCACTGGTCAAAGTTACTTTGTACTGAGGAACTCCCCGGCATGGTGGAGGACTGAAATAAAGATTTCTGTGGTGCTATCAGCACATATAACTGCCTAATGGTAATTTTGTATTCAGCTCAGACCAGAGTTATGGTTCACTCGAGCACTGCACCCTAATTGTACTAACGCTACCCAGGTGGTTGAAAGAACCCTATGGTGGACATGGCCAGAATTGTTTAGGATTTTATCAAATTGCCCTCAGGGTTTAAAACACAAAATAAAAGATCTTATCAGCTCTCTGTGGAAGGCAGGCAATATAACTTTGGGAGCTTAGCACTTCAAAGATACTGCAGATATGTCTGCTCATACTAACCATCTCCAAGCAGCTGCAGGATTCCTTACCAAAAGAGGCAGAGCATCCAGCCAATTTTCCATAACTGTTATTATACTGACGGTTACTTTAGAAGCGGTTAAAATCACAATGGAATTTATGCGGTCTGCCTGCATAGCTTTAATCAACATTACTTAGGATGCTGCTTGTACATAAATACAATTAGCTCTTCATGGATATCCTTCTCATATGATACAGGATATCAAAGGATGTCTGTGGCCACTGTGTTTGTGGAGGCGTGGCTTACTGGAGGATATGAAATCAGAATGGGCTTTCAGAAACACTAGGGTTTATACCCTACTATTTGGGAAGTGAATAAAAGAGGTCTTTGCCAAATCCAGGGCAAGGCACAGGAACTAACACACAGCTACTACAACCAGTACTAGGAGGTGAATGTGAAGGGAACTGGGTAGTACATCAGAGGTATGGGATGTTGCCATCACAAATGGCAGACACCAGAGCTTTCATGTACCTGACCCACTTGTAACAGGGTGTGGCTTGGTCTCCGACCACTAGCATGTTGGGAGGAAAATGCTACCCTCCTATGGGACAAATGGGACTAGCCCACAAGCACACCTAATTTTACCACTTACACTCATACATGCAGAGTAATTGCTCCAACTGTTCTGACTCTTGGTAACCCAGGAAAATCTAACTACAGGAACTGATTTACTAACAGACTGGAGCATCGAAGTGTCCTACCCCAACATGCAGAACTGGGACAAAATTTAACAGCAGCTATGGAATATCAACCACAAGGCAAGAGAAAGGATACTCCTCACTCCCCAAGCCAAGGCTTCCGAGAGCTGTTAAGAACGTGTAGCCACCATCCCTGAAGACTGCAAAGTGACTTTGGTTGTTCCATTAGAAAACAAACACCACACCATATCACCTGGACTGTCAGTTACGAACATAACTATCATTACTTTTGGTTTACTATGCTTAACGTATTTAGGATGTTTGCACTGACTAAGAAACAACAGAAATAGAAAACTCAGCAAAAACTTACATACTTAGACCTGTAAGCCCCTAAGAAGTGCATCCCAGTAAGACTAGATCTTGGAGTGCAGTCCTCCTAGGAGGTAGAATAGAAAATGCTAGAATAGACTGAAAAAATACTGTGCAAGGAGAGAAGACCACACCATCCTCTCTGGCTTTCGTATTAAGTGGGAGAACATTAGGTTATCTGATTAAAGGCTAATCATATTAAACACAAAGACCAGAGAAGCAATGCCAGAGGAAGGACCCTAACAACCTAATCAGTGAAAACAGAGCACTTGGCTATTCCTAAGACTGCCAAAGGAGGATAAATAGACCACTGTCTCTAGTGCAAAACCCACCAAGATGAGTCAGCTAAAGAAACTCTCTCCCCTGATTACTTCGCAAGCTAAAGGAGGCTATTGCCTAAAAGTGTGTAGGACTTACTATAGGATGCAGGGGAAAGAGAATTCTGGGATTTTGTAATACTTCTTAAGCGGTGTTTTATGGAGACTGTGGGAATGTGCAGAACTGGGATGTTTAAGGGACAATCAAAGGTGGAGAAAGGGAGGGAAAATAGAGGGAATGGGATATAAGGGCTAGTGAGTATGCTGGTCTGGCTTGATCAACACAGCCTATCCCACCTTTGTATCAAATTCTATTCATAACCAATTTCTGTGTGGGTATACTTTCTATGTATGCTAGCAAATTTCAAGTTGACCTAGCTGGTACGTTTGATGAGAAGTCTGAGCGCCAGCAGCTGGAGTGAGACCATGAGCCTGAAGGGGCCAGCCTGTAGGTCTGAGTGCAGGCAACCAGAGACCTCTAGCCTGGAGACGGGAGCCAGCTACTGGACAGCTTGACTGTTTAAGATCAGCTGCTGGAGAGATCCATATGGTGTGCATGTTCATAGTCTACTAGCAAACTTCAATCCTGATGAGCCAGAGAGAGGGTACAGGATTGGGCCATCTGTATTGTTCATGTTTATGGAGTGCTGCTTGTGTTTGTGTGGGTGTCAGTAAAGACACTGCTCTCTGTCTGTATTGATGTGTGTGGCAAACTGTGTGTGTGTTGCATTTCGTGCATGAACCTGTTGGGAATAGTTCCTTAGCCTTGCTCCTGGATGGACCTAGAAACGGGAACTGCAGCAGCTGCATCTAGCAGACTGGGATGGAAGCAGCTCTCTGGTCTCGGTGTACACCAAAGACTGCTCTAGCAGACTAGGGAGGAGAAATCTCACAAATTCTGAAATCCACCTGATCTGGCAGCCTCTAGCAGATCAGACTCCTGAAGTCAAAATTAAAAAAAAAAAAAAGAGGAAACAGCTCACTCTTGCATAGCTATGCTTATATACTGCATGACCTTATACACAATAAAACCAAAAAAAAAGCACTTCCTCTCTAAATGATACTTCACTTCAGTTAATGCAATCCTGTCTGTACAGCACCAAGAACACTGAAAACCTGAATCACAAGGCTGGGGCCAAGAGGTACTAATGGTCTACAAACAACAAATCAGCATGTAATGCTCAATTTGATATTCTACTTATCATTTCCTCCTCTGCATCACTCAACAAAGCATGTATGGACACTACTATTGAATTGAATTGGCCAGATCTTAAAATTTAAGTTGAAACATAGCACAATTATTTTGCTAATTTTACAAACAAACCAACTTAAAACCAAACTGCTTTAAATTTGACCTTTTCATTATAGATACAGTCTCCTGCCAAACAGATACTGATTTTTCTCACTTACACTTTCAGATCAAAAAAATTTGCATACTATTCCGTATGTAACTAGGAGAGGAAAAACAGCCGACCAAAGACTGAACTACAGAGTCTCATACAAATAACGTTACTTGGTTTTTGTGGACCATGCCCTTAATTTATTCTGGGCTGATGAGCTGCCATAAGAGATAGACCAAATCTGGGATTTTGCCCACAGTATTACTGCAACTAAATATGGAAGACGATTTTAAAGGCTACAGAAAGTCTCCAGTGCTGCTCCTCACAGGGAAAAAAGGCCAACCCTCTTGAAAATTTGCAGTTTGCCCAAGTAAATTACTGCCTATAAAAGTGTGCTTTTAATTTTATGAGGTGTCAAGACAGGGTTTAAAAAGAAAGAAAGAGGGAAAGAGGAAAAAGAAAGGAAGAAAATCTAGGGGAGAAAGAAGAAATCTCTAAGAAATGATTACCTGGGGAGTTTGGGTGATTTGCTAGCTCGGCTGATTTTAGGAGATTTCTTTGCTGCCCAGTCATCACTCAGTTCGATATCGCTGGAGTCAGAGCAGTTGCAGCTGTCAATCACAGTGGAAATCAAGCTGTTTCCATAGATTTCATCTATCAAGACAGGCCCCAAAAAATATAAGTGCTGCTTCAGAAAACTGATCCAATTACAACTCTCAGTCATCAGAAGCATAAACTTGATCCACCTGATCTCCAGGCAGCAGCTGAGATAAAACTGTGCAGAGAAAATTAACTGTTCTTCACCCAGCCTAGTATAAACTCAAAATTTCCAATGGCCTGAACTCAAGTGAACAGCGTTCAGTGGGGTGAATAGCATTCAAGTGGCTTCAAAATTGAGACTAAGGAGTGTTTTCCGCTAATTAGCAATCTATTCCCCACCATTCAAAACATAAGAAGTGCCTTTTTGTAAAACAGAAGACATTGTGGTAAAATTTCAGAGGCCTGAATCTAGGTTATGCTACAGAGTTTTTCACATCAGAAAAATCATTTCAGATACCATCTTTCATTTTGCATATAGAGATTTTCAGTAACTCGTTGGGATTTAAGATCTAGCATACTTCTAAATCATTTTTATACAGAGCTACACATCACTTCTACCTGCTTTTCCATCTGTTTTAGGATCCATGATGACAAACTCTGGCCGCAACTTGCTGATACGACGTCCTTTCAGTATGGGCACCAACCCCCCAAGGTATTCCAAGTACAGAGTATAACATGGACCACCGACCTCCGGATCATCCTCCGTCCGCTTCATAGTGCAGTGAAGCCGTTCGTTGCCAGCTGTTGGGTAGCTGACAAAATCTCTCATATTGTTTGGATCTGGGATAGGAGGCTTAATTGAATGAAGGGAGGAAAAAAAAAGGTTCCTAAGGGTTATTGGTTTTTTTCCTGTGGCTACTTAATCCCAACCCAACTAACTGAATTTGAATCCAGCTCTAACTTAACAGGTCAGGATTAGTGCAGGTTACTGTGTGAGTAAATGCACAACCCACATGCAAGGGAGAATAGCTGCATATTATTTAGTTAGGTCAAAACAGCTGTACACAGAATAGTAAAAGTAGTAACATCAGAGAGGAAGTTGGACTTGCAGTTAGAGCGTTGAGTTATGCAAGAAATTTGTATTCAAATCCCTGGTCTGTCACAGACTTCTATTTTAACTAATGTGGTTGAGTCCAAGTCCCAGCATATCTTGCTTCCTGCTGGCCTCGTAAGTGAACTTTGCCAATCGTGCTCCCAGTCCTGGCCAGCACTGGTGCGTGCTATCTTTCTACATGATGATGAAAAAAGCTCTGAAAAAAAGTCTGCACCTCTTAAACCACTCCACTCACCTCCAAAGACATGAGCCATCCTGGCTGAGAGCATATTTGCACTGCAAGGCCCAGTGTAGTGTAGAGAAATATGAGCACAGAGCTCAGTGTAGGTTACTTTGTCCTGTGTCTCAGCAGGCTGTATTAATCCATGCAGAGCACAGGCCTAAAGCAGCTAGAATGCTTTTGTTTAGCACAATATAGCCTGTACGACACAAATACTATTAATATGTATAAGTCCACACAGTTTCTTTCAAAACGAAAACACAGAGGCAAAAAAAAAGTAGGAAAAAAAAAGAAGCCTCCTTAGCCTGGAGTATGGGATGAGTAGTGATGTATAATGCAGTCGGAGTGCTCCTCAAGCTAGAGGGGGAAAAGGAATATATCCAGGGAAGAGTGCCTTGCCAGGCCCTGGAGGCGTAGCAGACGTGGGTGGGCGTAGGTGGCTGGGGAAGAGCCACCGGATAAAATATGAAGCTGTGCTGAGAAGGCTCTAGAAACACCCATGAAACAGCAGGGACATGTGGCTTCTGGAAACCCTGCTTTGGCCTCTCAGCCTGGCAACTGCTTCCCAGCCCAGCATCCCCTCTGGGAGGGGACAGAGGGGCTGTCAATATGGATGTGATCCCATATCCCTCTGCCCCTCTGATGTCTGTCCTGGCTCCGAGCCCTCACTCAGCACCTAACACGGCCAACTGCTTTCTTCTTCCGTGCCAGGATCCCTCGCCCTGCTCCCCTGGCTGCACAGAGGCAACCTCCCCTCCCTGTCCTCCCCGACAGCCAACAGGAGGAGAGGGCCTGGGATAACATGGAAAGCAGCCTGGGGAGGAGGAGACACGCTAAAAAATTTGAGAACCGCTGGTCTATTATACACTTTGCACCTTTGGAGACTGAGGAGTTACAGTTACAACAGGCATTTACTCTGCACTGGCAAATGAAATGTTTCTCAGCTGCACAAATTGCCTTATTAGTGATACCCAAATGTAACTGTGTTGAATCATTATATTATGGGCATAATTGCCCTTCACTTAAGCTGGGCCAACTCCACAGATTTCAAATCAGTGTCTTCACATCTATAATGTTTTAGCAAGGAACTGAAACTGGCTCAAGAGAATGTTGTAACACATACACCAAAAATACATAATACAAAAAAATATATTGGACAGTAGGGCATTTACTAGCTAATGCTCTGATTCTGGGCCATGATGAAGAGCTCTGAAATCCTGAGATGTGACTGGGGGCAAAAATACAAAACAATGGGGATGAGCAGATGCTCCTGCAAGCAGCTATACTAGCGGTACGGGCAAAGGCACGATATCTCGTTCATTTTCCCATAGCACTGCTGGAGCAGTGAGGCTGGCAGAACCGAGAATCAATAAAAATATTTGGGCAATAATTCTAACAGCCATAGCTCTTAAGCATAACTATCCTGGCAGTATAAGGACTCAGGTAACAAGCAGGGAAGCAGTAGCTTTACCATGACACAGTATTACCATCAGCACAAGCTTCTTCAGAAGTCTTTGTGAGTCACAAGTGTATTTTACCCTTGGGATGTTCTTAGACAGGCCACCCCATAGAAGAATGCAGATCAGGATGTGTAGGCCTTCTTTTCAGCTTTAATAGGCATCAAATAAATCCTTTTTCTCCCCCTCCTAGACAGAGTACATCTTTTTTATTCCTCTTTCTTAGCTGGAAGTCAGTGGGTAGAATGCTGGGCTCTTGATGAGACTACGAGTAACCCTTAACCAAGCTCTTTTAACCTTATTTATGCAGGGCCAGGATTTTATCCATTATCATTTGGGAGCAGCATGGGGAGAAATCAAGCAGCAGTTCCCCCACCCCCACCCCCCAACACTCACTCTGTTTCCTTTTACCTTGATTGTTGGTATAAAGGCAGTGGTGAGGTATGAGCAGAGCCGAGGAGGCAGGGTGAGTTTGCTGATATCCTTGTCATCCCGCAGACAGCTAGCGATGGTTTGCTGGCATAGAAGCTGCAGACTGGAGACCCTGTGCTCTACTCTGACAACATACAGTGCAGGTCCAGAAGCCATCAGCAGGCGTGAGTCCCTGTGACCCCAACAGATCGAGATGATAGGACGCTGCAGGAAGAGGAAGAGGCCACAGCTTTAAAAGAGCATGTACTTTCTTCCGTGCAATTGTATAGCATATAAATTCAGCACCAGTCATGTTACCCTAAGTCTTCCAGAAACTTAAAAGGGCCTGCTATTGCCCACAAGAAGGGAGACGAATGTGAACCTCTGAAATTATCAGTAACAGTGGTTCATATTTATGCAGTGCTTTTTACCCACCAGCCTTAAAGCTCTTCACGCAAGTAATTGTCTCTTGAATTGCCTAGATGGGGAAAATGAAGCACTAAGAGGACAAGTGACTTTCAAGTCATATAGTGTTAAAGAGCAGAATCTTTCGATGTCCAGTTCAGATCATTTTTCCAGTCATTTAATCAATTTTAATCCCCTACTAAGGGCTTGCATTTTACAAATGAAAAGTTAAATTATTTGGCCAGAGTCACTTAGTGAACCAGTGGAAAAAATCCAGTTGGCTCTCATTTTGCAGTTCCAAGCCTGAGCCTTCCACAGCACAGTGTCTACTTTGAAACATTCTCAGAGGAAGTGAACTGTAAAGGATCAGCATGAACAAAATGAAGAATGGCCTTTTAGTCATCTGTCTCTCTACACTCATAAATGTCGAAATTCACAACAGCAAACACAAAAAGAAAGAGTCAGAGGTGACTGGTATGAAGTGTTTGAACTCTGAGCAGTATAGCAAAAACCAGCTCAAAGGCCCTCCTTTGCACATTAGTCCCTGCTGCATGAATATCAAGAGCTCATGTGATAATAGTGGGTGGCACACCAATTTAGAACAATTAAAAGGAATGACTTTTCAGACAATGTGTCATTTGCTTTCTCTGTTGCAGGCATCAAATAACAGCCTGATTAAAAACTGAACAGACTGGATACTTTTATAAGCATCAGCTTTAAGGGCTATGCATGCTACGATAAGGGTAAACTCAAGCTTCAAGAAGCAAGTTGATCTTCATCACTAAAGCTGTTGCACAAACAGCTTTTATCTTTATCTCAGATGGCAAATTGTCCTCACAAGGAGCTCTCTAAACTCTCTTCCTAAAGTCTTTTTTATGCAAAGTTTATGCAAAGCATCAGTGTGTATATCCCTCTTATAGCCCTATCACTATTTACTTTTGCCCTTCATGAGTGTTAGCTGCATCTGCCTGTCAACTCTTCCTTTCTATGTTACAAAGCATCTTTTTGCCACATACATATATATATATGTATATCCCCCAAACACACACAGTATATGGACTCTCAATCCCATAGCTGCTATCTCTATACAAATAAATAACACATGGTAAGGAAGGAACTCTCACTCCATAAAGAACACTGCATAACAGGCTGTAACCAGTGTACTACAAAATGTTTACTCCTTCCTCTGAAGTGCTCCCGTCTTTTCACAATCCTTGACACTCAAAGGTTTAAGTAAAAGCGTTCTTTAGCTAAGTTATGGTCCATATGACTGAAAGGTCAGGATCACTTTGGAATGTCTGAGTCTTTCACAAGATGCACCAAACAAGAATTAACCATACAGAAAATAAAGGTCAACACACCCTCAGTAATCTTTAACCACTCCTTTCTGGTATAGCATGGTTCCCACGTATCTGGGTTAGATCAGCCCAGAAGTTACTAATATATTCTGGGAAAAAAGCTTTCCTTTCAATTACAAGTTCAAAATGTTTAAAGACGAGAAACTGGGACACGATGTTTTTCTGTGAATGATATAAAGGAAAATGCAGCTGCATGACACTATATCAATGTCTATCATCAAGATTAAGGGTAGGATGAAACAACTTTCTCGGAAAAAGCATTTTCTCTGCTATGTCATCTTATCCTAATCTAAGTTTCAAGGAAAATATTGGTTTTAAAGTGGGAGGAATGAAGAGTTTTCTTTTTCATTACATCTAGGCAACATATACACACACACACTTCCATGGTGGTACAAACCTTCAGGCTGACTGATATGCAAATGGAAAGCTGCAACCTGCAAACATTATGATTTTCACGGTAATTGCTAAAGGCATTTTGTAGTGGAGAACTTCAAAAGAACTGAGAAATCCCTCATGTATCATCAATAATTACTACATAGCTTGTAACAATCACTTCTGTGGGACAGTCTTAGTCAGTCCTGAATCTGACTTAATTTTACATACTCAAAGTATATATAAATTAGAAAACTCTTGTGCAGTAAGTTTATAGAGTAGATTTTGAAGTGCTTATTGGGGATTTGATGAGAGAACACATACAGTGTTCCTTACTGATGGATATTTTCATGACATGAGAGCACGGCTTCACCCTCATACTGTCTCAGAGCAATGAGACAGTTCATACTGCTGGTAAAATCAACAGCACTGAAAAGGCATTGACAAAGGTTAGGCGCTGCCATACTATACGACAGCCTAAGAAAGGCACACGTAGCTGTGACCCTGATTGCCTCAAGGAGTGAACTGCAGCATGGGCAGAGCTATCTACCTGATCACTGTGGTTCCAAACCACCTCCTTCCTTTCACGTTGCCTCAACTAAAGTATATCTATAAAGAAGGTGAAGGAATAAACAAATGTGTGGCTTAGAATCAAAATGTTTGTTTATTGCAGAGTTTAATGCCAGAAGAGATTACAAAGTCTAATATTCCAGCTATAACAATCCATTACACCACATCCAGATCGCCCTCTGCTCATCCATTTAATGGAGCTAAATGAAACCATTTCTGTCCACAGGTTACTGCTGCATGCAGAGAAGAGCAGAGGTGCAGACAGTACCAGAGCAAGAAACTTTGCATCTTAAACATATTCCTTAGGAATATGTTTTTTGAGAAGCTTTGAAATGCTGGATGGGACCTCTGGCAATAAAGCACTGTAGGACTGAGGAAGAGTAAAAAGTCAGAAGACAGAAGACACTGTCTCACTGCATGATTTAATCTCAGCTTCCCAACATGCAACCTTAATTCAGCCATTTTCTAGCTTTTCAGTGTCTGTCTCCCTTACATCCTGTTTATGTATTTTATGTAAACAACACATGTATGAGTGGATACACATTTAAATACACACACAACATACATAACACCTACAGTGATGTACTGTTTGTAGATCACAGCATTTATACTCTTCCATTTGTATAGTCTCCTTATCCCATTAAATGGCTCGCAATGCTCTCCGCACACACCTCACGCATTTTAATCTCAGCACTCCCAATCTCACCGAACAGCACTTGTGCTGTGTCGGTTTGTATTTGCTTACTGATTCACCAGACATGCCTTGCTGGCAGTTTTCTGGGACAGCGTTTCTACGGCATGGTCAGTTCCGTAGTGCTCTTCAAGTGTAATGTCCAGCAACACTTCATTCACAGGGAAGAGCTAGGATTTAAAATGAGGTTCAGGGAAAATTAGCTCATCATTACAGGCTTGGGGGAAATAAAAGATCACCCAATTGCCATATTTGACCTGACCTTTAAATGCACTGCGCCAATAATATTTCTCAGTAACTGCCCTTCTCACTCTTCCCCTTGAAGCGCAAGGATATAGATCAAACGCTGCAGCAAGTCAGTTATGAGCTGGCCCACTGTGTTCCTTCCAAATGCTGCTGAGGAAAAACTATTGACCTACAATGTCCAATGCAAAAGTATTGCTCCTCATAAAGCAATCCCCGTATTTTGTATAATTTTAGCAAAAAAATAGAAGGAAAGAAGCTTTTGATACCCCATAAACTTTACGTACATTATACTGTACTTGTTAAAAAATGAACAAGAAGATTCTAGCACAGAAGACACAATTTTATTTTTCGTATTTGAATACTTGTTTTTGCCTACTAGGAATAAGGAAACGCAGCTACAAGTTCTGTGACTTTTAATCTCTCTTTCCAAACAAAAATCCCATCAGGTTTTGAAAGATCTCACAACAACTTGTTTATGAACGAATGAATTCCAGGGCTTAAATGCAAACATGGAGGCCAAACTGAACTACTATACAAACATAGAAAGGATTCAGTTCTCTGACCATTATATATTAAAATAATATCCTAAAGGCCAAAAATGAGAAGTTTTATCAGGAAAAATACTGACTATAAACACATCTCAGAAACTGGCTAACAAGGCATTCTTTTGCCATTTTTTTCAGAGTGGGCTTGAAAGTCAGATATGCCTAACTCTATTCTGTATGCCCCAGCTGGGATGTGTACTCCTCTTAGAAAAGCATGCAGAACTAGATACTCCTGCTCAAGCTAGCACTCTCTGGTTGCTTGTTGCAAGCCACTCATCCTTCTTTCTTACAAGAGAACAACATAATTTATGTATCTTTCATCACCTGCATACTGTTCAGTCATTGAAAACACAGTGCAGGCTACGCTTCTTAATACTTGCCTTGCGCTCAGAAATCCTGAGCCCTAGGGCTCGTCTGCGGCTTGCACTAATCCCTTGACTACTGGGACTGAAAGTCCCACTGGTTATGAAAATAAACATAAAATGGTATTTCAGGGTAGAAAGTCCAGCAACATTTTTTGACTTTAGTCCCTCAGGAGAGAGAACCCAATTGCAAAATAGTACCTAGTGAATGGTATGCATGAGTAAAAACTCTAAATGACATATGTTGCCTGCTTTCTTTCTTTTAAGACTGCTGTTGTACCGATACACAGTCTGTCTTTCCCTCTGCTTTTTTCCGAGAGAAGCTGGAAGGTACAATGGCTGGAGAGCCCACCTGCCTCTTGTGAGTTTGGACTGCACATCTCCGTACTGCCATAGAGTCCATAAGTAACGTGTTGCAAAGTCACGTAACTTCTTCATTCTCCTATTCCTCGTATTTACAGTGGAGAGTAATAAGAGAGTTGGTGAGGATAAAAGTAATAAAGACTGTGAGGTGGTCAGAAATTATACTGATGATTTTCTATGCAGCAAACTCCTATTTGATATGCAGATTTGCTTCTTATGCCTCTCTTTCTACAGTAAGCTGGGTTTTTTTTTTCAGTTCTCAATATAACGATGAGATTCCATTTTAACAGAATGAGTCTTTTCCTAGTTAAGTGTAGAAAGATAGACTCCATTTTGCAATCATGACAAGTTCTCAAGATTCCTGGTCATGATCCATTTCTGCGGCAGTCTGAGGCTAACAGCGGTTCTCATGATCTAACCTGAGAATATCAAGGCTTTTATTAATGTCCAAAAAGATGCTTGAGTAGCTAATTCTAAATTGTTGCTCTTTCTGGATATAAACTCTACTGGAAGCTTCGGTGTCATCCAATAACAGCTAAATAGCATCAATTTCAGGGGATACAAATGAAAGGCGACATTAATTCAGGGGCAACAAACCTGAACGCTATATGTGGAGTGAATGAAGACAAAGTACGCAAGGTCAGCTCAGCTGGGTAACATAAAAGACAGTCTCTTTTTTCAATGTCCTTTAGATCTGAATTCAACCTAAAATTCCATCCTCCTCCTCGGGCCTTAGTAAAGTGGATTTTATACAATTACCAGGTTTCTGACTGGCCTGGTCTTAAATTTATCTGCTCAGATGCCAGGACTTTTATAGCACAGAAGCTGCCTTTCAAACGCTGTGAAGACTTCTGCTGCTTGCCAACATGTTTAGAGCAGGTGGGTCTTGCTCTCAAAGGCTCTCAGAAGTCTCTCCCATGAAGACTTAGTCTTTGCTTCACCACTTCGAATCAGGGTTTAAAAATATTACACTGAGAAAAAAGTGATTGCAGCTTTTCTGCCTACCCGTAAGGAAACATGCATCTAACTTTGCTGTATATACAACAACTGATTCTGGCACTCACTGAACTCAGTTCTTTCTTCTTCACTGCACTTTAGGTTTGAATCTGTTCTTACCTCAGCTATACAGGGGCATAAAATCGTAAGCTAATGTAAATTTACTCAAGGATTACAGGTGTATAGATGAGATCAGCATCAGGATTTCTGAGTCCACTTTCTTGCTCCCCTCGTCCTCTCTGGGACATATAAGAAAGACATTACAAAAACCACAGACGGAATCAACATGTAAGCAACACATCTGAGCCAAAAGCCAGAATAATTTCACAGATTGGGTAAAGTCGGCAGACAGGCAATTCTGAAGTGAGGCTGCAGGAGGCTCCTCTGTTTCAAGTCCAAATGGGAAGATACGAAGCAACTGTATCCACTCAGAAGAGAGCTTTATAGTTGACAGCAGGTATAGTTGATACAATAAAGACCCACCTGCATAACAAACAAGAAATTCTGAAGTGACAGAATTGGGTTGCAGCACTTCCAGCAAACAATTTTAGCAAGACCATAAAAAAGCCTTGAATGAGTTCAATTATTATAATTCTCATCTCAGATTAAAGCCAGGGAAAGGTGATGAGGATTTAACAAGTAATAAAAATTTCAACAAAAAAATTACGACGGGCAGGGAAGCCTGCTGCTTTTATAGCATTTTTAGATGCTGGGAAAGCAGGACCATTACAAAAAAATGCCAGCTGAAAGAACTGGGCATATTTTTGGTTGATCAGGTTGGTCTTTCTGAACACAAAGGGGGAGGACAGTAAGTGAGAAGGTTTACAGAAATTGATAGTCTTTTCTGAATAATTAGCAGCTGATTGGCAGCTTTTAAGATATGCTCTTTGTGTAAAATAAATAATCGGTATTGACTCTTTGCAGTCACAGCATGGACCCATTTTTCATATAACTGCTCCCAATAAAGTAAAGTCTGGTGTGACTTTCTGAAGTCCCTTCAGAAAGTTCTTCATCAGTCTTTCAGGGTTCAAAGAAGTCTGATTCTGCGAAGCAGTTCTTGATTTGCCCAGCCTTTACCAATGTTTTTCAGCTCTTTCCACTATATTCTGTAAACATATTTTGGTAGAATTTCAAGGTGGCAGGCTGAAGCCACAGAGCAGTGAATGAGAGAGATTGTTACACTATGCTAACTCTATCATTCTGCTTATGAATGTTATTTTTCATACAAAGCTACTGTGTTCAATTGGATACTTCTAAATAAGTGCAATTTCCCTGTTTAGGGTTTTATCGTCAGCAAAGTAGGTTTATGATTCATAAAATCCTACACTGATGGGAAGAGCTTAAGAGAGTTAATCAAGTGATATATAAGATGCCAAAAACATACTAAAGCTGGAGGAGAAGGCGGCATACAAAACACCTTGAAGGCAACCACGACAAGATGAGTAAACTGCATTACCCAATTCTGTTCTGCCTTGTGGTTTGCAGTGACTTTATGTTAAGTAACATTCCAGCCAAGTTGCATGTAAATCCTACATCAGTTTTAGATTGAGTTTTGTTATAAACAATTCAATAAAATTCATTTTTTCCTAAATACCCTACCAAGACGCTCAGGATATACAGACAGCATAAACAGCTGAGTGTATTTTACTAATAAAAATTTCAGACGTCTGCTTTATCAAAGGATTGCAACAGAGGACCACACAGAAAATCAGTTCTGCACCAGTAATCTGTTATTTTCTGTGTTTAGTGTTGCTTTACTTTTTTGACCTTTATATTAGCAACAATACTCATACAATGCACCTTTCCAGTCACACATGTGTGTGCTTCAGAAGAAATAGTTTCAGTAGAAGAGTTTGAGATGCGGAAATTCTCTTCCATTTGCTTTCAATAACCAGTGATGGATTTTATAAAATCCAATTACAGGGCTGACTGCCGTTTTAAAGAAAATTAATGAATTTACTCTGATGAATTTATCATCAGACAAACTACTGGGACCACTGACTCACACTGTCATCTTTGGACATGCATCACTGGAGCACAGTAACAGAAGCTACTAGCAATTTTTTTTTGTAACAGCAATTTCAAATTTGATATCGTTAGTAAACCAAATGCTTTGCAATGTTCTGGTATAACTGTTACTTAGCTGGTAATATTGTTAGACCAGCATTCAAATACACAGAAGCATAATGTCCACATGAGCACATACAGGTGCCTTTCTGAGAAACCTCCTCACCAACTCCTGCAGCGGAGTAAATCTGAATTTAAACGCACTAAAAAAGAGAATTAAACATTAATTAATGAGAGAAGAGGGCTGGCTCTAATTTTTCTAATTTTAGGCAGGCTTATACATACAGCTGTTATATTAATATAAATATATCAGCCTGAATGTTATTTTTAGCCTTGTTCGCTAAGGAAATGAGACTCAGTGATTTTGCTATTAATTGCTAGTTGCTGCTCCCCCTCCCTCGCTTTCATCCTTGCTTAGCAACTTATGAAGCTGTAGGCCAATTCCATTTGAAGCTGACACAGGGCGAAGGAATCTCCACGACACTAAAAAGCTACAAGCTTAGTGGCAACTAGCAGCCAGAAAGAGGACGGGGCTCATGTTAATATTTTCACTATGACAAATACTGCAGAACGACCTTGGCAGTTACCTGTTCTGTATGACCTCTCAGTTGGTCTATAAGCACCCATTCAATGGCTGAATAATTAGCCCTCGTGTCAGCCACAACATGTGCTGACTTCCTCCCAGCTGATTAAGTAAAAGGAGAAAGAAGACAAACTGAAAATCTGAAAAGAAGTTGAGGAGGTATAGGGAGAACTTGAAGAAATTAAGGTATTTAAGTGAAAGAAAATTTGATGTTATTAGGAACAAAGCAGGGAAGAAAGCAGTAAGAGATGAGCCTTTGTAGACGTAAATCTTAAGGCAATCAGACTCCTTCAGTTCCAACTGCTCAAAGAACATCTTGATTTTTCCAGAGTGTTATATGGATTGAACACGTAACATGGACATGTTGTACTGTGGTACTGAAACAACACAATGTGGTGACTGTAGTTTGTTTTACCTGGTCTGGGAAATAAGCAACGCTGATACAAATATGTTTTTGCCAGAACTGATACACAAAGAACTGTGCTACTTTGCTTAAGTGGCTACGTTTAAGACAAAAAAGCTGTGCGTATAGGTAAGGCCTTTAGATACCTAAATCAGCATTAGATGCCTCTCCATATATTTAGATTGGCTTTAGAGAACATTATTTTTTATATTACAAAACTAAAGAATTCTATCTAAATTAAAATGCTGGCATTAATAAGCACAGGTTAGTGCTACATATGAGCAAACACAAAAGCTTAGCAGCTGGTTTACTATGTCATCCTTTTGTATCCATCTCAGATCAGGGTACTGAAAGAGAAATCATAATAAACAGTATCATCATTAATCATAATTACGTAAATATATCTATAACATTTCCCTTCACTTTTGGATATCAAACCCATTATAAATTAAGTTTCACTATGTAACAGTCAGAAACCAGACTACAGTCATCTCTATTCTACAGAAAATGAAATAAACTGTAGAGTGGGCCTTCAGCTTTGTTCTGAAATATCAATAAAGACCTATGAAACATTTTTGTGCTCCGAAGCAGCACAAAGATTGCGTATTGACATTTACTTGTCAAATAATGTGACCAAAGATACAGTGAAAGCCAGTATGGAAGGCAGGAATAGAAACAAGACTTTCTGATTCAGAGGCCTGGCATATATGGACAATACCTTCCTTCTCTATCTGATGTCATAAAGAGAAATATGTTACATCAGAAAATGTGATTGTACACTAGAAAATTACATAAAAACAAAGAGAGAACAATCTTGTGGTTATGCTACTGGACTTGGAATATTTTAGTCCAAATCTTGGCTCCGCTACAATGTTGAATGAGTTATCTAGTCTTTGCTGCTAAATAACTTCCCCGTAAAATAACAGAATTTCCTTTTACTATTTTGTCCTTTCATAGTGCAATGGTTTTGAGGAACAGACTGTTTCTCATTCTACATTTGCACAATACCTGGCAGGGTGGGTCTTAGAATGAGACGTTGTCTTGGACCTCTACCTTAATGCAAACAATAATTACTTATATTGCATCTTTCCGTAAATCATATTTTAGAATATACTAAGGACATTTTGCAAGCCCTTTTACATTGCAGGTCTATACCAAAGACCTACTGGGGGAGGGACATGTCAGTAAAGCATTACGAACTTACTTAAAAAACATGCCTTACCTGAACAGGTGTCTCCAGAGTGTAGATATGTTCCCCACGCACATTGTAGAACTTGACAAGTGCACTTTTCAACATGGAACCATTGCTAAGATCAGCTAGCTGACTTTGTTTCTCCACGCCTGCCACCGCAAGTAAATCTCCCTGTGTACACCACTGTACCACCACATCTGAAATCAAAGATAATTTGCAATAATCATTTAATAGAATCAATAGGAATAGCGTTTCTAGATATGCCTAGGTGATTTGTGAACCTAAATCATGCTCTCAAAGGTTATTTAAGTGCACAGAAACTTCAATACTTTCAGTGAAGTATGAGCATATATGCACTTCTGGGAATGTCTTTTCTGATTTCTTTAATCAATTGCAAAAGATGTGTAAAAAAACATTAGTTTCTCTCTCCCCATTGAAAGTCCAGAATGTAAATGAGAGGCTAAATTTTGTACCTGAGTACAGGAACTTATTAGAGAAGTTCAAACTAATGTGGAAGATCCTATGCACATCTTTGGAGGTAAGTAAGGGGAATCAAGCAAACACACGCTTAAATAAATCTCACCGACCAAGAGAGTAGCAATGACTGTTTGGAGAAGGCTACAGTGCATAGAAGCAGCATGTTTGGCAACACCTCATATTTTCATTGGCTTTGAACGTAGCTTTTCGTATAACTCAGATCTATAACATCAAAATTGAAAGACTTTTGGATTTTTGACCATAAACATATATGGCCTCCATGTCATAGGCTTTCTTTTGACATATCACCTGTGCAAATCTACTCCTCTGTCTAGGAGCTTGCCAGCATCACACAGGGACTGATCAGTCTCTCGTTTATGTGGCTATGAATATACATATCAGTTACTTCTCCTACAGGAGAATGTAATGAGGAACACCCACAGCTTAATTCCGGGATGCTAATTTCAAACCCTTATATCCTTCAGCTCTTTGTCACACTTCATCAAGAACACTAAAACAGTGTTTTGTGTTTCTGCTTGTGTTTCAGAGGCAGATTTGCATGTGCAAGGAATACTGAGCTAGTCTTTAAACCTTTTTACTCTTAAACCAGAGGTGGAAGGCAGCTATTTTGTGCTGAAACAAAGTGAGGGTAAAAACAAAACTTTCACGCTCTGGGATGCTCAATCCGCCAAGAACCTTTTGAAGACATTTGTGGGCGAAAAGCTGTCTTCAAATGAAGAAGCAGTCGAGAAATGAGAGTTGGCAGGAAGGCTCTCAAAATTGTTTCAAGTTGTCAACTTGTCATCATCGGGGACTTTTATGTGTAATTTAAAATGATTTTGTACTATTTCAACTGTTGCCTTTCTGATGATATTTCTCATATGGATTATAATTCTATACATATCAGTGGCAAGATGCATGTTTCTCAGGATAATTCTTCATGGCTAGGCATTGTGGTGCTCTTTTTTTTTTCTTAATCCTCAGCCTTCTACGTAATCTACAATGGAATTTAATTAATCTTTTCCAGAGAGTATAATGATAGACATGTTAAAAATCAATGAGGCAAGCAAACCAACTCCACTTTTAGTAAATGGCTTAACTACAGAACTACCAAAGAGAAAAAACAATCTCCTTTGGGTAAATGTCTTCAGGTAAAATTTTCAGCTGTTCCCCATATCAAGAGGAAGAGAAGTGGCTACTGTGCCTGGCAGTTTTCTTTTTCTCTCACAATTCCCAGAATTAGATTACTGCAAAGGCACAGAGCAGCTAGATGTTGCCTGCAGCAGTCCCAGTGGGACAGTGTGGTTCTACAGCACGCTGCACTGAGCTCTGTGTCCTCAAGGACTATTGAGCCTTGAAGTACAATAGCTCGACTGACAACTAGGTCTCAGTGCAAGCACAGAGACAAGAAATCAGACGGAGGTTTCATCTAGGGCAATGGTCTGCAAATGAATCAGTGGATCACAGTCATCCCTCAAAGTTGCAAGCCACCAGAGGCACGTATATCAACAAACCTTTAATGGAAAGCACCCTAAATGTGCAGGTAGTAGCTGTAAGCTAGTTCTGTAGCAGCTGCAGTTTAGTAGTTCTGTAGGTAGTAGCACACTGTGAATCACTGAATTAAAAACTACAGAAAAAGAAAGAACACAACTGAACAGTTCAGGACCTCCACTAGAAGTGTCAACAAAATCTAGGAACATTCAAGCTGGATGAAAAGACCAACTTTTGTCTGGGCAATCAAATTCTCATCAAACAGCAAAAGTTTGTTCTACACCAATTTAACATGAATATTCCCAGCAACGTGACAGCTTTTTAAATACCTATGCAAAGGTAGTAGAACAGCAAAAATATATTAGTATTGTATGAAATAGTTTTACAGTTGCCTGCTTTGAACGTACATTGAGTAGTTTCAGAAGTCCATAAAGACAAGGGCATCTGCTACAGAGACCGCAAAACAAGAATTACAGATTTCAGACAGAAACACATGAATTAAGACTCATGCACAATCCTGAAGATCATTCACTTTTAGTAGAATTCCAGGTGGTCAGAGACGACTGAGACCCTGAGCTGGGTGCTTTTGCACATGCTCAGCATGCAATAATAACCATCGAAATGACAGTCATTTGACAATATTTCTGGTAAGAAGATATGGAAAATGCATATATCTATGTAACAGCTATATGTAAAAAACTTTCTATTGTACAATGGGTAACTTCAAAACAACGGACAGTGATATCCCAATCACCTTACTCTATCTCATGCACACTCCCAATCCAGCAACATGTTCGCCCATTCTTCTTTTATTGATGTCAACTACACAGTTCAGTTTATGATCCACAGAAATGTACTGTAGCTCGTGCATTAATATTTTGCTAGAGGAGGGTGACATGATTAAGCAGTTTTTCTTCCATTAGTAAAAGTCAATGGGAAAAGAGAAATGGAACAGACTTGGTCAGCAAGATATAGCCACGTAACTCTGAAGAGAGAACAAGAGGCTATTTGTGTCTACTGGCTGAAGAAGTTTTCTGCATCACAGGGTTGCCTCAGGATGCTGCATTTCCCCAGCCATGCTTCTTGTGTTGGGACAAGTGGAAGCTAGGGTAGAATAAAAACCTCAAAGATGATTTTTTTACCTCCTAAGGCTCCCCTACACAGGGGATCACCCAAAACCCTATTAGGCTGGTGTTAGGATAACTTTTCACCAACAATGTCACATTGTTATAGAACAGCTAAGGGTCTACTCCATAGTTGAGATTTTTTTTTGCGTGTAATATAATACTAATTTATCTGCAGACATGAAAAAGAATCAATTGAACTTATATTTAAGTATGTGCTTCTGTGCCTTAGTGAATCAAAACTTTTCTCGAGGCAAAGAGCCATAACTTGTAATGAGAGTACCGGCAAAGTAAGGGACTTCTCGATAGGTAAGAATTGTAAAACCTTTGCTCTAAAGATTTTGCATGGAATACTTATTTTACATATATACATGAATACCACCTAGCAAGATGTACTGTAATTAATCAATAGGATTTTTATTCTCTCAGAATAACTTGCCACTTTATAATTAATAATTCTACCAAGTTTTAAAATTTGTAGGATACATCAAAACAGTACTGTGATTCATACTTGGCTAACAAAAGCAAGGGAGGAGACACTATGAATTAAAGATACAAACGAAGCATGGTGTAGCGTGAGTATTCATAAAAACAACCATAAATTTACTAATGCATTAAGCTGAAAGAAGATAAACATCAATTTGCTCTATAATCTCAAATATTTAACTATTTTTTCCAAAACAAGGAATCTATTAACCAAGCATTACTCTTTCACCAGTAGGTGTCACTGCTGATAACGGCAATAACTGTAGCCGTAAGCTCTTCTGGGTGGTAAGAGGTACTGGGTTAGGAGAGACTGACCCAAAACCATGAACATATAGACACATAATTAAAAATATAAGAAAAGCATAGGAAGGGGGTGAAATGTCTTCCTTTTGTACCTTTCAACCCTGAGCGGATGATAGTAGGAGACAAGTCATCATAATTGTTCATTAAACTAATGTCTCCTGACGTGAAGCTGACAGTAAGAAGTGGTTTGGTGTTCTGCACCGGGACTGGATATGCAGCTGGTCCATCTGCAAAAATAAGATTCTGGAGTGAGCAAAAAGTGACCTACCAGAAGTGATTACACTCAGTGAAACACACTGTACTCAAGTCTATTTTCATGAGGAACGGCTCTGAGCCTCTTACTGCTTCTACTTAGTTATTTTTGTAACGTCCACGACAAAAGTAAAACAGGAACAACTAGTTAGTTTGTCTGCTTTGGTGAAACCTGAACTATCTTGCCTTACCCTTTGCCGTTATCCATGGGACAGTGGCTCTGGAACAGCATCACAAAAAATTCAAAGCAACATTGCATTCTTTGGCTGTAATTCTCTATTTCACTTTAAGAATTAAATATCTTTACCGAACTGATCTCTACCTTTCCGATGCCTCCGTCTCAGTTAAAATTACACAACAGTAAGGCTGCCAAGTTTCAGAAGGTAACTGAAATGAGGCATCAAGCATTTTTGACTGTACCATATCCAAAGTGGCTTACGGATATAATGTTATGCAATGCAGCAGTGTTTTTCATTCTCTCTCCACTGTCAACTCCTAAAAGTGCTCACCAATTGAAAAATGGTGCTTTGGAAGGTTTTCCTGAAAAGCTGTATCATAATATAATCATATCAAAAGCTATTTGTTAGGTAAATTTTCTGCTTGGGCAAGTGCTGGGTATTCCTCTTCAAGTCACTAGAGACATCGTAAGGGCTTCCAAGAGAAGCCTTTCACAAATTGCTGTATTTTAAACGTTAAGAGCTAGGCAGCAGAGTGAAAAATTATATGCCATCCTACATAACAGGATTCTGTGCACTTAAAGATAGAGATGAGCTCAAAGGTGCTTTCACAATCATTCCTAAAAAGTCTCTGCTCCTCTGGGCTTAATTTTCAGCATTCACTGACGTTCCCATGCCAAATACATAATGACCCATATCAGCATCTGTAGCATTTGCTATTTAGTTCTTTTTGTTTATAAGTTCTGGCAGGAGATACTGCCATCCTCCCAGAAAATGGCTCTCAAGCCCAATCAGCACCTTCTGAGGCATCAAAAATGATACAGAGCCAGGTAAGAGTGGTATCACTTCCTGAACTTGTGAAAGAGCTGATCAAAAAATACTTTAGAGAAAGATGCCTAGTAATCAGCATGTGGTGTATGTGCATGTGTGCGTGTATAATTTGGTAAGAAAAATCCACCAAACTTCCAGTCCTTCCTATGCATCTGTGTGAATCAAAGGCCTGTCACCTTTGAGAGGTTTATGCTGCATCTGCCCTAAAGAAAACACACCATGTTTCAGTATTCATTAGAAGCAGGCTTGTAACAAGTCCGTCTACGCACCCCTGTTTGACTCAGAGGAACTTAGCATGTTCAGATCACTGAAATTCTCTTCCGTGCACTCTCCCACTCCACCATCCCACAACTGGAACCTCAGTATTGCAAAAGAGCCATGAAAACCAATGTAATGTTTTTCCTTCTTCTTCATTAGAAGCTTGCTAGGAAATCTGAAGACGCTAGAATCATTTCTTCCTTTTCTTCTAAGACTACAAATCTCATCCAGTAGCAAAACTGAGGCTGTGGCATCATGTTCAGATTCCCTTGAAAGCCAAAACAAATCCCATTTCGAAAGATGCTAATGTTTCAGATAATCACAATATCTTCTGTCATTATTTCTAAATACGTGATTATTATACTGACGTATATACAAAATATTCTGTAAATGATGCATTTTGGATTGCATCCAAACTAGATCTAAAATTGCAAGAGTCCTAAATTCTGTAGTTCAGCCCTGAGATGCTGCTTCAGACTCATTTTTAGTTATTATACGTTTTAATTTTTCATCATACAATCACCTTTATATTATTCTTTAACTTAGTTCAGACTTCACACACTGGAACACAGCAATAAGCTAACCTAAATCTTACAGACTAATCCACAGCGCTAGCCAAAAGAAGCAAGAATATAGTTTTTGGAATAAGAAGGGTGGGGGGCAATGACCATATCCTATCCCAACCTACGCATGGATACAGCGACCTTAAGCTCTTATCTAGTGCTATCCATTTCACTACCAGCTTTGGGTTGTTATCTCGTTTCTGCAAATGGAGGCTCAGCAGGACAGATTGGGTATGACTTGCCCAAGCCAGACAGGGGGGAAGCAGCAGAGCTGCAAGCAGATCCCACAGCTCTGTACCAGGACTCTGCTTACACTCTGTGCTACCCCCGCAAGAGCACACAACCTTGCAGCCTCTACCAGCTGAAACCGCAGATGTCCTGCTGCTTCAATACACTGTGACCACTTCATGCCATTCCAGATGCCCTGGGAAAAACCGAGAGAACAACTCTGAGAACAACCCTACCTTGCGGAGGGGAATAGTCGTCGGAGTCTGTGTCACTCTCACTGCTGTCCTCCACCAGGAAGCTGGGGTAGTTCCAGGACATGCTGACGATACCATCTGACTCGTGAAGGAGAACGTGGGCCAGCATTCGGCCATGGCAGTCCATGACAATAACCTGACCATCAGCGGTGCCAAACAGTACCTGAAAATAACAGAATGGCCCACGGTCCCATCAAATGTCAGCACCTGGAGTCTCCACGGAACACAACTTGCAATTAACTAGCTATGCTGGAAATGAATTGAAGGCAAAGCAGTCAGGGATTTTAAACGGTGCCACAATGGGACACTGTAACCAAAGATGTGCATAAAGAAGCATCAAAAATCAAATCATTACAACTAAGAAATGCCAGAAGCAAGCAATCAGAATTTGTCCCTCTCGGGCAGATGTATTAAAAGCAACTTCCACCGACTCAGACACAGCAGACAGAGGAAAAATACCTTGTGTCTTGTTAGTACCTGCAGAAAGAGTAGTGAGAGATGGAGAGGGGTCAACGAGACCTAGCTAGAGCTTCTGATAGGAGGCAGAACATACAGGGAAGGTACAAAACAACTACCACAGTTGTTTATTTGATTGCTTATCTCAAAGCAAAACATGCCTGCCTATTTGATGATGCTTGCAAGAGGAGAAAAAGTTGATAGAGGAACAAGAAGTGACGGGGGCTAGACGTAAGGTCCTAAAATCTGTAAGCAAGTAAAGGTTCACACTGGGGTTCATTGTGTTTTACTTTAATATGAGCCTTAACACTTTATTTAAACTTGGCCATTACTGCCACTGAAGTGAGCTGGCTACCAGGGATTCTACCAGTATCTCTGAACTACACAGGAGTGGATTATACAGAATTTTTCTAAAATTGGTGGGAGAAACAACGGCAGGCATCAATTATAACAATACCCAACAGTACACCTGAGAAAAATGAAGTCTTAGCAGAGATTTCAAACAGCTTGTGAGAAACTGAAAGCTGAACAGAGGAGGACAGGTTATTCAATTGATGAGCAGCAAGCAAACAGAAGGCGGGAAAATGTCTTCCAAAAATAGAGGCAAAAAGCAATACTATCCATTAACCGGAAGTTGATTATTATAGCCCAAGAGGAAGATAATACGTTACAGGTTCAGGAAGGGATAAAGAAGAGCTTTTGCCCATCATTTCAAATACAAAACGGATAATGCAGGGCGGGGAAAGGGGCTTGCCCCTAACCTGCTGTTTAGCCAAAGTGCACTGATTACGGTCAGACTGCCTGGAATCTACAATTTCTCTTTTATAAGCATGTCCTGTCTTGAGGTTTTGAACAAGAAAAGATCCTGCACGTTTGATGAATTTTAGGAAAACATTAGGAAATACGTGTTAATAAATCCATGAAATGGCAAATACATTAGCCAAGGCTATTGCTACAATCACATAATTCTACGAGGCAAATTATGTTTTAAGCAAGTTTAAAGGCAATCAGCAACTTGAAACGTAGCCAGTATTGAAAAATGAAGCTAAAAAGAATGCCAGAACTTATCCTTGCCCTTCAACGTACCGCTAATTTCCTGTTTTATAATCATATTTCTATATAATTTCTCTTTTGCCATATGAAAGAACCATACAAATGAAAGGGCAAATTGTCTATACATTGGAAAGAGGAGCCCAAACTGAACATACTGGAAAAACAATAGATTTTCCCATTTCTCAGTGACAGTACTTGTAAACTGAAGAGTCTATTAATTAAATGCCCAGATGAAAAAATCTTCTAAGCCCCTATCTTATCTCTAACAGTGGTCAAATAGTCAAGGAAGAGTAAAAGAACAGGACACACTAAACAGTCACGTAGTTTCTGGCAAAAATACTGCCTCTCTGTTATTTACAGCCTGCTAACAGATAATTTCACTGGATAACCTCTACCTCTTACACTGTAAGAAATACAGAAGAACCATTCCCTATTTACGCTCTCAACTTTAATCATAATTGTGTAGACCTCTATTATATAATCCCTCAGTCATCTCTTCTCCAAGCTGAAGAATCGCAGCCTACTTAGAATCGCCCTTTGTAGAAATTGTCCAAAGCCTCCAATCATCCTTTTTGACCTCTGCTCTACTTATTCTATCTTCCTTTTGAGATGTGTACTAAAATCAGTGGAGTAATTTCTCATTAACACTGGTAATGAAAAAGCACTATCTGGACTACTTCAGTGTATATCACTACATGAAATAAATGCCTTTGTGTTAAACAGTTGGTGGGTTAGTTACAAGCCTTCAGTTATTACTCTTAGCTATGAAAGTAAGAACTCTCCCTTTGTTCAACTCACATTTCCTTCCTTTTTGGCCCTTTTTCTATTCCTCTTCCACTGGTATCATCTCATTTCCTTTCATACTGCTCATCACTTCAACTGTTTTTACATGCGTGACCAGTGCATGACCACTTTCACTATCCACTTTCAGAGCATAACCACTCTCCTTCAGATCTCTATACAAAACAAGCTTCCACAAACCCAAAATCCTGAACATTGTCACTGCTAGCTTCTCACACCACCTTCAACTTACTCTCTAGACTAGGTTTTGACAAATCTCCTTGGACTTTCGTAACAGCAAAATGCCTAGACAGAGGAGGTGAGACTCTCTGTTGGTTTTGAAATAATCAGTATGAGAATTTTCGCCCCTAAAATTCCATAGAACTAAGAAACATTTCATCATTGGGTAGGAATAAAATGTTGTGACCCATCACCCAGGCTGCAGTCCAAGCTCTATCTAAAGTTAATTCTTTCAAGGAGCACTGCATCCAGTTCATTTAAAATTATGAACTCCTACATTAATTTACAACTGAAATCAGAACAATTGCATGCAGGCACCCTAATTCTTGCACCGGGACCTAACGGAGGTCTTTAGCAACCCAGAAATGTCAGAGGGCATTCCTCACCTCTCTAACCATGCAATAGGTTTCAAGGAGCAGCTTTAAGTTTTGGGGTTATTGTAGCTAGACAGCCTTTAAGATGAAAGCATTTATAGGCTGATAGTCCTACTGGCTGAACTCTTGCTGAAGCTGTGTAAGTGTCTAATGTTGTTATCATCCATAACGTTACCTAAGCTATAAATGCCATCATACTCAAGCTACTTGTGTCAGACGAATAAAACTCTCTTCACCTTCAGAAAAAAGGTTAAGGCACAGGGTATGCCTGAGGGAACCAAAAGATAATTTGAATGGCTGTATTTTGGCTGCCTAAATTCATATTTTTCAGGTATTTGCAGATCTGGAATGTCTGAGAGAGCGCTGCAAAAAGGTAAAGAACAGGTTATATTGGTTTATTAACCCTTGAATGCAAAGTCTAAAAGAAAGCAACAATAATTAAAAAGAAAATCCTGGTTACCTTATTTTGAAGTGTTCTTACTGAAGGTTTTATAGAATTACGTGAAATCTGACAATAAAATATCTAAAATCACCCCATACATTTAGTGTGAGTCAGCTGCACAGCATAAATACAGTATTTCCTTACAAAACATATCAACATAACAAATCCTGCACTATAGTGAAGCTGCAGCTGATAAGACGTCATAAGAACACAGGAAGCCAAAGAGCTAACGTTTCTGCAACATTCTCCAATGGTGACCTGCTGCTGGATGTTCTGAAGGGAAACCTGCTATAGTTTGCCATGGGATAATCCATACAGAAAGTTTTCTAAGCATGCTAAGATCTGAAAGTTAGGTTAAGTCCTGAAACACAGGTGTCTGGGTTCCTCATGAAGCCCATCCTAATTCATATTTATTATAACAAACCTGAATATCCAAAAAACATCTTTCTTTGAAATTTGCTAACCTCCCAGCCTCTGTGGTAACTTCAAACAATAGGTTTCACATGCTAGCTTTGGTATGTAAAAAGGTTTTTCATTTAATCAGTGTTAAGTATTCATGAAAAAATCATTCAAGATTGAAATCCTCTTAAATACTCAAGATGTTAAAAACTCTTCTATTTGCAGTTTGAAACGTACCAATTCCTAAAAGACATGCGGTAATCAAAAGATGGGGTATTCTGCTCTGAAGTTAATTTATCATGAATAGATTAAACTGCTTTAGTGCATCCAAGAAGCTAAATAATTCAGTCCAAGAGGAATAACTTTAACGTGATCAGTGATTTTGCTATGTGTGTATCTGCTGTGCTGAATTGCTGCTATTCCCGCAAGATCTGTTGTGATGCTGTAATACATCTGGACCAGATACAGTACTAGAAGAAAATGGTTTGGCAACACTGAAATGGACAGAATTACAATAGGCTACCAAAGATCTAGCGCACTGAGGATCCAGCTGACGAGGCCCCCTGCTTCAGAACAGGACTGAAATATGATTCTAAACACATTTACTCACAGTGACGTATTTTTGCATGAAATATATTCTGTTGTTGTTTGATTTGCTTTAATATACATAAAGACAACTAAGCAACAAAAAGAAGGCTCAAGCTTTACGTTAATATGAATACATTGGTTCAGTAGGAAAGGGGGAGATCCTGCCATCTCACCACATCTGATTATATGCTGAGAAGTTTACTTCCAATTAGCAGCCCATAGTCGCAGCAACCATAAATCCTAACAATTCCTTTAAGTCAATAAAGCTGGGTTGACTTTTATCTTATATATTATGTCCTACAATATCTTATATTTATTCACTTTTTATCTGTCTATGTTTTTAAGGTAAGTGAGCTCCATGTCTTTCAGCTTCTCTTCGTATGAGAAATTGCTCTTGGCTTCTGGCCATTCTGGTTGCTCTTCTTTGAGCCTCCTCCACGTGTCTTTTGTGAGATGGTGACTTAACGCTGCACACATCTGAGACGACACCAAACACGGACTTCTGCAACAACACTAATATTTTTGTATTCCTTCTGCATTTTGATATAGTTTTACGGTCTTTGACTGCAGCTACAAGTTCAAGTGGTTCTCATTAAGACTACGAGACAGAGAAGTCCCAATCACTAACTTCTAAGTTTAATGTAGAATATAATACAGCATGCATTAACAATTTGCATTTAAATTCCTGGATACACCAAATATTCTGCAAATGAATGCCATCTGTCATGAAATCTCACGTGGTCCAATCTTTCCTGAGCTGTGGCTAAGATGCCAACCCTGCATCAACTCCAAGGAGCAATTTCTTTAGTTATACCTCTTCCTTCTTCCCCA